GACCATCTTTCTAGTTCTACTTGGAAATCCTAGTGATTGAAGAGACACTTTCTTTCTACAGCGCATGTCCCTGTGGAGAGCCACAATCCTTCCCCCGTTCTCTGATTGACCTGGTTTCTCCAGGGTACTTTGTCCCAGTTGATCTCCTGAAAAAAATCATTTTAACAGACTGATTGAGGGGAGGGATGTGTCTGTTTTCAGGAATGTGCATTACATATAACAGTAACCATCCTATCGGCAGTTGGCAGAATTTGTGGAATTGCATCATTATACATATGATATTGATTTAGAAAATTGGACTGTCACATCCAAAGTCTGCTACATCACAATCCATTGAATGTGGGTTTTGCTATCATGTTGAGCATTACAATAAATATGATAACGTGGATGCAAAACATCAGAGAAATAATCACAGTACAACAATGGGAAGAGTTATGGAAAAAAAATCAATACATTTATTCCAAGTTATTATTTAAGGGAAAATTGGTACAAAATGTTTTACAGATGATACATAACTCCATTAATAATTACTAAGATAGACAAATCATATACGAATAAATGCTGGAAATGTCATAACAAAGAAGAAACACTTCATCATTTGTGGTGGTTATGTAAAAAAAAAACCTCAACAGCACTGGAAAGAAATACATCAAAATATTCAGAAAATGCTAAAAATAAAATTTGAACTGAAACCACAAACATTTTTATTAGGTATAATCCCAGAAAACATAAATGAAAAAGATTACAACTTACTAAGATATATGTGAACAGCTGCAAGAATAAATTTGGTGCAACACTGGAAAAAAGGAACCTTGCTGATGATATCGGATTGGAGGCCAAAATTAAAGAATATGCAGCAACGGCAAAATTAATGGCATCTATCCATAATAGAAGTCTTAACCAAATGTAAGCAAGGATATAGACTGCACATTACACAGCAGAGCAAATTTAGACATTTGGAATACGGTTTCTAGGAAAAAAGTAATGAGATCGGTCAAAAATTATAGATAAAGAGACTTAGATAGTAGTAATAATCTTTAATATTCACTGTAAAGTATAAGTATCTAGGTTGTGGTTAGTGGTTGGGGAAATGAACGGAAGGGAAGCGAAGAATGTGTCACTAGAAAGTTTTTCCATAATGTTTTTACTTCTGCTTAGTAGTTGCTTCTCTTCGTTTTATTCAACTGTCACTCTCTAAAGTAGACTTTTCCCCCCATTGTATTTCACCATTCTAACAATAAAAATGGTTTAATTTTTAATTCAATTCTTAGCTGTAACCTTGGGGAAGAAATAGATGATTATTAAATGGCTTCTCCGCTGCATTGAAATGCTTGAAGTATCCCATGATTTTTTTGTTTGAAGTTGTTTCCTTTTGGAAAAAAAAGTATGCAAAGTCTGTCTCCAGCATTCAAAGATATTTGGGATGTGCTTTGGAGAGTTTTCAACTTGACTGTGTGAGAAAAATTGCAACTGCTGGTCCTTGCAGCAGAAGGAGCAGTGCCTATATGTGTAATAGGGTATAAATGTAATGCTCTATAATAGTGTTTCTCAACCTTGGCAACTTGAAGATGTGTGGACTTCAACTCCCAGAATTCCCCACCCAGCCAAGTTGGCTGGGGGAGTTTGGGGGGTGAAATCCACACCACTTCACATTGCCAAGGTT